CCCAACACCCAACTCAACCTCCCAACTCCCAACTTCCAACCCCCCAACATCCCAACTCCCAACTCCCAACCCCCAACCGCCATATTCCCATTCCTCCCATCACCCCAGTCCCAACCCCAAATCCCCCCCCATTCATCCTACACTACACTGAACAAATACTCCGTCCCCTCGTGTCCTACCCAACCCCCAAGGGCCTAGGCCTGACCCACTAACCCGGATCAGGTTCCCATTCTCCGGTTTAAACCCCTCGGGCCTCCTGCTTTCCCTGACCCGGGAATGGGTTAATAGTGTAAAACCGAGACCGGTTACCCAGGCCGTACGCAGGAGGCTAGGCCCGCCCTCGGGGTAACAGACCGGAAGGGGCGTGGCCTAGCACACCGGAAGGGGCGGGATCCCGGGCATCCTGGGGGGTGGGGGAGAGCGCGCGCACATGCGCGGGGCCTGCTGGGAAGATGGCGGCGCTCAGGAGAGAGTGGTCGTGGTGAAAGCGCCATGTCTGGGACGCGGGTGAGTGAGTGAGTCCGGTAGCGGGAGAACCTGCCCGTGGCCCTCACCCCACACTTCATTTCCTAGTATCCCGGGAGCTGCTTCCCCATTATCCTGCTCCCGCCCCCTCTCCTTCATTTCCTCCTTGACTCCTCTTCCCCCCATTCTACCCACCTCTCTTCCCCCACACCTCTCTCTTTCCCCCTCCCCCGCATTCTCCCCCCACTTCTCCCCCACCCCTAGGATCGCTCCCGGTGTTATATTCACTAGTCAATGCACCCCTGTTTAGAGACTGCTCTAAGTAATAGACCACAGGGTCATTGCTTAACCTACTTTAGACTGTGTTGAGCTACAGAATGGCAGATATAGCCCCTCCCACTCCACTCCACTCCACTAGCTGCAACTTACTTGTCACTTTCTATCAGGTTCATTGCCATCTGCATCGTTATCTTTTGAGCCACATTGGAGCCATGGATTAGTGGGCTGGGCGGGTTAGGGGCATCGGGATAGGCATGAAATAAAGGCATGAGCTTTGACCAAAATTTGAGTTGGTGGAGTTGGTGATCTCAGGAACTTTAGGGAAACAGAACGTTGCAAAATGTTGGCAAATGTTTGGGTGAGTTTTGCAGCAGGAATGAAATATTGTGCAATTGTCATTTAGTGATTGGGATAGTATTTTGATGGAAGATTGAAGAGTATAAGCAGTCTGCCGTGCATTGTGCAGTTCTTTGGCATGTTCTGTTTCATGTGTTCTACGTTAAAAGAATGTCAATAATTGTTATAAAGTCATTGAATGTTCTGAAAATGCTGGTACTAATTGAATTTTTTTTAAAAAGCTTTCTTTTCCTTTAACAAGTTGCTGTATTTAAGGAAGACTTACCAAGAGTTTACCAACAAAGACATAAGCTAATCTCATAGGTGTTGCACGTTTTGGATGAATGGAAACATTAGTTGAAAGGGAGAATTCTATTGGATGGTGAGGGCAAAGGGTGCAAATATTTAGTAGTCTGGAAGTAGATGCCAGTACTGTCATTTTAAAAGTACGACGGCATTCTGAGTTTTATAAATAGGGATATAAAGATCCAGTTTGAAAAGACAATGAAATTATAGTGTATACTAATGTTTAGACCAGTGAGGGAAAGAACAAATTGCATCAATGTAGTTATACAGTGCTCAGC